GCATTACTGCAGAATGTCAGAGTGACATTGCTGCTTGTTGGTATCAGATCTGCTATGGTCTTTGGTTTCACACACACAGTTTTGAGTTTATGGACTTTAAATTCTTATATATGGTCAACATCATCTGTTTGGCTAGTAGTTACTTTATCACGTCTTCATCTTCATGTATTTAGTTCTCTTAGTTACAGTTTCTATTTGTATTAGAGTTTTTTATTTCGCTCAGTATTTCTGTTTTCCTTCTCTGTATTTCCTTCCTTTAGTTTTGTGTCTGATTTTCCCTTTTTTGTATTTTATGGTTCCTAACTTTATCTTAGTAATTGTGTAGTGCTCTTAAGTTTACTTGTCTCTTCTTCATTAACTGTCTTGAATCTTTGTGGGAGCATCTTGTGACCCTCCTGTGTTTCATTAACTGATTACCCTTTGTGCATATAGTGCTTTCTCCTTTGCTGCAGTCTGGTCCTGTCTGGTCCAGATGTGCTTGTGCCAGTTTTTAAGATTACCCTTAAAAACTGCCTCATTTGCTGGATTCTTGGCATTGTACTCTGTTTATATTGTCTCCTGCTCTGGCTAAACAAAGGTCATTTTTGTCATTGAATTAGTCTGCCTCTTTCTCTTTTCTTTTTTGTTGTTGAATCGTAATATTATACAAATGTACATGCAAATTAGATGTGGATAGAGAACATGTTAAAGAGATGTAAAATGTGATATTTACACTGAAGTTCAATTTGAATGCTGCTGGAACGTCCAACTCCAATCTCATTTCCAGCTTTGCAAAACAATATTCGCCTGTCTTTGGAGACTTTAATAGATAAATTCATTCCTGTCCCAATAAAAGTCTCCTGGTTTCCATCTGCACTGTACCAAGTGTAGTTTTCTACTGCTGGGTTGGCATTACTGCTGCAGGTTAGAGTCACGTTGAGGTTCTCTGGTACTGGACCAGAAGGACTGACTGAAACAGTAACGTTTTTAGGTGAATCTGAAAAAATGAGCACAGAAACATGCAGACTGAAATGTTAGGACAGTTTTATTTACAGAATAAGTGTAAATATTTGTAATACAGTAGTGCTTCAAATGGTTTTTTAAAAAAAAAAAATTAAATACTCTTGAATGCATAACACAAAATTGTATCTTTAAATATTAGCAGAGAGCAAACCACACCAATATAAAGGTTTCATCTTAAGCAGAAACTGAAGAGTAAAAATGACAAGTTGTTTTTCTTGGCTTTTCTTTCTGAAGACTCTGTTCATGTCAAATGAAATAACCTTTTCTTCTGTCTTTAATCTTTAACTGATTTATTGATGAAAGATTTAGAGCTATCGGAAGAAAGTTTGAATTTTTTTTAGTTCTTCTTACTATGTGCCTAACAATGTGGCTGTCAGGAATCCCTAATTTTAATGACCAATACTTAAATTAAATTAACTACTTGTAATGTGATTATTGTCAGTCTCATTATTTAACTCCACCCCAAAGATCAGTTAATGCTTTAGTTTCATTACAATAATTCATGTATTACACATCCTTCAATCCTATTAATAGAATTCTAGTTGTGATATGTAAAGAGTAAATATGGAAAATTAATTAAATTAATACATACATTGAACATTTATTTGTAGGTTGCTTGATCGTTTAAATCCAAGTTCATTTGTAGCCTTGCAGAAAAATGTACTTTTGACTTTTGAAACGGTAACATTAAAAGAGCTTCCAGTCCCAATAAAAGTCTCCTGGTCTCCATCAGCTCTGTACCAGGTGTAGTTTTCTACTGCTGGGTTGGCATTACTGCTGCAGGTCAGAGTCACATTGCTGTTCTCTGGTACTGGACCAGAGGGACTGACTGAAACTGTGACGTTTTTAGGTGAATCTGTAAAATGAGCCTCAAAACATGCACAATGAAATGTAAGACAGTTTTATTATTGAAAAAGCATGAATATCTGAGCTGGTATTATTTGGACATCTTACACCTGAAAATTGCTGGTATTATAATTATTATTTTGTTTACTTGTGTAATTACTTCCTCTTGAACAAATAATATGAAATCCTACTTGGGTCTTACTAAGCTTGGGTCGAGACAAACAACAAGTTTAGTTTTGTCTTAAGTAAAAACTGAGAAGTAAAAAGCACAAGGTATTTTTCTTGGTCTCTAATATTTTGAATACAAAAACACATATTTTCCTACCATTCAATTCTATTAGTGAAATTCTAGTTGGGTACTAGTCAGGGTACATAAATAGTAATTTTGTAAAATTAATACATACACCTGATGTCTATTTGGAGGTTGATGGATGCTTTAAATCCAACTGTGTTTGTACCCTCTGTACCAGAGGTGGTTTTCTACTGCTCGGTGGGCATTACTGCTGCATGTCAGAGTCACTTTTTGGTTTTCTGATATTGGACCAGAGGGACTGACTCAAATTTGCACATTGTTGGGTGATTCTAAAAATGAGTATTATGATAATTTGCTAAATGTAATGCAAGAGAGAAGAGGAGAGAGAGAGGAAGAGAGAAACAGGTGACAAACATATTTGTATATCTGTGACTTATTTTTCATATACATTTATCACCTTTTAAATTTTCCTCATAGTTAAACCTTGTCACTATCTATTCTATCCAATAAGATAGCTTTTTCACCATATTTTTTTTAATGCAAAATGAGATTGCCAAGCATACCAATGCTGTCACTAACACCTGGAGTCAGTTTGCTATCAGTCTCTGTGTTATGGTCCCCGTGTCTACCCAGCTGGCCCTGCAAGGCTGCATGTGTTTTGTGTTCTCTGTCTCTCTCTGTTTCTATCTCCTTCACCGCTCTGCCTGGGCGGAGCTCACTGTGGGCTCCCCCCCTTGGCCCACACACCCATTCACGTTTAGTTGTCATTACCTGTCCACTACTTAAGGCCAGGACGCAGACCTTCTCATCGCTGGATGATTGTGCGAGACACGTTAGTGATCCTCTCAGCTCCCGTGAATCCATGCTTGAGTATTTTGTGACTTTTGAATAATTTCCCTCTCCTGTGTGATAGCTTTCCTCCCTGGACCTGTGACCTTCCTGCTGTGTGAATGTGTGTGAGTTTGGACGTGGAGACGAGTACAAGTGTGAGAGACCTTCCCCTTGGACCTTTGGAACCCTGGATTTCCCCCCCTCACTGTATATATTCTGTACTGGTGTTGTAAATAAAATGTGTTTGGAAACGTCAACCTGCTCTGCGCTTGAGTCCCTGCTATCGACCGTGACACTCTGACTGAATGGGGTCAAATGGGCAATTACATGCAATCTAAAGCAATCATCTTCTGATGATACAACAGTTAACAGTAATAAGTCACTGAAAATCACACGTTACTGTCTAGACTGAAATTCCCATTTAACAGATATTCATGTTTAACTATTACATTTGTGTTCAGCCACCTTCTATAGGGATATAACCGGACCACAACCAGCAGGCAGCCAGTTGAGTAAAGTCTCAAAGACTCATTGAGACTGATGGCTACATGCTGTCAATCTATTGTATCGTGCACACTCATGACCACAAAATGCCTACAAATGGGTTTAGTCACCACAAGTTGCAGTCAGTTGCTGAAAAAGGTCAATTTACCAGACAGGGACTGGTGTTTTTGACTGATGCTAGGAGGTTGCTATTTTACTTTTACTCATATGACTGAGCAACTGACTTGCTCTTAAATATGAAGTAGCTTCGTCAAATTATGTGTGTCCAGTGTTGGGCACTTATTTCGGTTGAGCTGATTTAACATACGCTCGCTTGTCTAAAGTTATTTCTGGATGGTGGTGTGTGAGCTGAAACTTCTTGTTCAAATTCTTCCCAGATTATTTTAATTGATTAAATAAAAATATTGATATTTGGTGTCCTTGTATTGATACAATTCAAAATATAATATTCCTTTCCCACACCCCTATTAAGATGACAAATATTGATATATTTTCTAGGATGAATAGCCTATTTTTATTATGTTGCTTTTTACAAGTTAATAACTAATTCAGTTCAGTTGAATATTATTTATATAGCACCAAATCACAATAAAAATTGCCACATGGTACTTCATATTGTAAGGTAAAGACCCCACGATAATACAGGGAAAACCACAACAATCAAATTACTCCATTTGAGCAAGGACTTGGTGACAGTGGAAAAGAAAAACGTTTTTTTTTAACAGGAATTAACCTCTATTTAGATTAGCATTTAATATCACTGTGAACTAAAGATACACTGTTGAGATGTATAACATGAGCAAGTTTGTGGCATTGAACTTGCAAACTTCCTGTACAGAGAAGAGATGCATCATCTGTGAACCATGGTATATTTTAAGGATAAAATGTGACAGAATCAGAAGTAGCAAATAAATAAATAAATAAAATGTATCTTTAGCCTTTGTTTCTGTCGAGAAGTGCCTGTGAAATTGATGGTTAACTTTTTAAAAATCTAAATCAGTTTTAACCATGCTGATGAATGTGTGCATACAAAGTTCCTGATAGGAATGTTTAACTTTCTATTACTGACAAAATCATGATTAGATCACTAAAATTTAAATTTTACTATTTTTACTATTTCACTCTTTTGAGGTACCTCAAAAGGGTGAGAGGAAGATGAGAGCAGAAGGGAAGGTCAGAAACATCACTAAACCACAAAATTTTGTAATACTATCTTTGGTGATGACCCACAAATGGAAACGCTGATGCACAGAGAGATGCTATTATGAAAGCTGGCTAACCACTAAGAGACATCAACCATATATAAATAACAAAAAACCACCAGTGACTTCTCTGAAATCAACCTAATATTGCTGTCAACTCATTAAAAATGAAATGAGTGGATGTTCTGTCTTCCTGTATTCTGCTTTCTGTCTTCAAATTCTAAGGAACATATCCTACCTTTACTGCAAAATTACTAAAGATTAATTTGATAAAGTTACACGATTATGACTTTTTCACATTATCAAAGTAACCAAATGTATTGCTACACGAAAATAATACAATAATGCCAATAGTATGAAATGAACATTGCCTGAATTTTTATATGTTATTGTATTTTTTGTGAAACCCATGCAGCTTTTATCTTTTTTCCCCATGTTTTCTCTCTCCTGTTTTCTCCCTCCCTCTCTTAGTCATTCCAAGTTGACACTTGTTGTCTGTGTTTTTACATTGCATTAACTGTTTAAAAGCATTATCAGCAACAGAACTAAAGACAAAAGTGGGTCTTTATTACCAGTCATCAAACTCAGCAGATGAGCGGCCGCCATGAAGACAGCAGTCACTTTACAGCATCCGATAAGTCATCTTTGAAACACAGCAGCTGTAACATTGTATTTATAATACAGGTCATAATACACTGTGACACAAAATCAGTTACTGAGGAAGTGTATAGTACTACAGTTGATTTTTCTACACTAGAATCCTCAAGTTCTTCCAGGTTGAACAAAGCACAAAACTTAGCTTTACATTTGTAATACAGCTTTAGATCTTCAGAAAGGAAGTTCAATCTTTATATCTTACGAGAACCGTACCTGGCTAGATAGATGCTGCTTCACTGTGTTTGTGATGTCCCAGTCTGTTTCTGTTCTCAAGTCACTTTAGATGACTTGAGAAATCTAAAGTGACTTGAGAAAAGACAAGCTTAGATGCTCTGCCACTTTCTCTGCTATTCAGCCTCAAACAGGAAACTGTTTCCTGTTTGAGGCTGACTAAGGCAGTCAGTCTGAACATGAGAAACCCTGAAAGATTGAAAGAATGGCTGTCTTTGTTTCACTAAATTTCTAGTTTGCTACACTTTTTAATGCAATAAGGAGGAATGTAGGGACTTAAAATCAGGTTAGATCAGGTGATGAACAAAGATTATTATCAGCCAATGCAATGCACCCAGAACATTTACTCAGTGAAATGATGTCATACAGCTTAGAGGACAAAGGTACAAAAACCAAAATTTACTCGATATCTACCAGTCAATCCTCCCCATGTCTAGTGTGTCATAGCAAGTGAATGCGTTCTATGAATATGAAAGAGCAAATCCATGAGTGAACTCGAAAGCACCAATGGATTATGCAGAAAAAGTAGAATTGGGCTGAAAGATCTATCGCTTTATTACCTATTCAGGTTGTAAATCATGTTTTAAAAAAGTAACTAAGTAACTAAGTAATTCATTACTTTTGAAAATAAGTAATCAGTAAAATAACGGGATTACCTTTTGGGGGAAGTAATCAGTAATTACTTACTGATTACTTTTTTCAAGTAACTTGTCCAACACTGGTGCTTAACTTCCAAAAAATGTTTGACAAAATAATATATTGAAAAACAAAACAAAAAACAGAATCACTTGTATTTATGTTTAAGTATCATTCATTATATTTATAGCCCACAACAAGATAGAAAATTAAATTAAGCACAACTGACTGTGACTGCATATCATGATACTATAAATATATTAATATCACCTCTATATAGACATAGTTTGTGACTGGGTACACAATACAACAACTAATTATCAGAACAGTTAACAACACTTTTCCTGCAATTGCATGTTAATAAAACAAACAAACAAAACAGCTAAACAATAAGATTCAGATGTATGTTGTGATGTTGTGATGAAAGCGGCCTCATACGGCGTGCGATGCGCGGTGAGGGATGCCAAATGCCGATATCGGGAGCGAGTGGAGTCTCACTTCAGCCGGGGCGATACATGGAGCATTTGGCACATACTACGCACAATCATGGATTACAAAGCCAGGGACACTGCGCCGACCAATGCCGACTCTGCATTCTCCAATGAGCTGTACCAGTTCTACGCCCGTTTCGAGGTTAGCCAGGCGGCTAATTCTAACAACTGCCTGACAACTGAGGACAGTGACGTCATCAGAGAGGGACCGGCGATCAGCATCGCAGAGCACGACATCCGAACAGCGCTGAGGAGAGTGAGCACAAGGAAAGCGGCGGGACCAGACGGCATCACCGGCCGTCTGCTACCATCATCCCTGTCCCCAAGAACAACAAGCCCTCATGTCTGAATGACTACCGGCCAGTTGCACTGACCTCGATGGTTATGAAGGTGTTCGAGAGGCTGTTGAAGAAAACCATCTCCTCTTCAATCCCAGACACCACAGGTCCGCTCCAGTTTGCCCACCGACTCAACAGATCCACGGAGAACGCCATCGCAGACATCCTGCACACCACCCTTAGCCACGTGGACAAGAAACAGGCTAACTATGTGTGAATGCTTTTTTTTTTTATTACAGCTCAGCGTTCAACACAATATTGCCCGGTAGATTGTTCACAAAGCTGAGGGATCTGGGACTCAACAGCCGTCTATGTGCATGGGTGTTGGACTTCCTCAATGGCAGAACTCAGGTGGTGAGGGTGGGTAGGTGTATCTCCGACAGCCTCACCATCAGCACAGGAGCGCCACAGGGATGTGTCCTCTCGCAACTGCTCTACTCCCTCTACACTTCAGACTGTGTGGCCACCCACGGCTCCAATACCATTGTGAAGTTTGCTGACGACACAGTGGTGTTGGGCGCCATCTCCAACAACGATGAGGCGGCCTACATTGATGAAGTGAAGAATCTGGCATCGTGGTGCTAGGACAACCACCTCCAGCTGAACGTCGGCAAGACCAAGGAGCTGGTGGTGGACTTCAGAAGGAGTCAGCACAGAGACCACAAGCCCATTATCATTAATGGAGCTCTAGTGGAGAGGGTGCAGTTCTTCAAGTACCTTAGTGTCCACATCTCCTCAGACCTGGCATGGTCTGCCCACATTCAGGTGCAGACCAAAAGGCTAGGCAGCACCTGTACCACATATGACAACTGAGGAAGTTCAGGGTCTCTCCAGTGATCCTCAGGATTTTCTATACAGGCACTGTATAGAAAATCCTCACACAGGTTCTGTGTGAGAAGAGCATCCTCACACAGAACATCACATCCTGGTATGGAAACAGCTGTGTCAAGGCTAAAAAAGCACTTCAGAGAGTATCCGTACGGCAGAACGCTGCTGCAGGACTGCTCTCCCTTCCCTACAGGACATTTACATCAGGAGATGCTGGACTAGAATAACTCAGATTTTTAAGGACCCATTCCCATCCCAGCAACAAACTCTTCCAGCTTCTGAAATCAGGCAGAAGGTTCCGAACAAAAACAGAGAGGCTCAAGAGGAGTTTTTATCCTCACGCCATTTGTGTGCTGAATCATGTCCAGAGCTTCTCCTAGCTTCTCTAACAGGTCTCCTTGGACCAGTTGTAGCCACCTGGTAGTTACCAAGTTTAAGAAAATATCAGGCAGTGTCTGAGATACTGTGCCAGAGAAACCTGAATGAAGGGATTGTAATTGTATTGCTCAATGGCCACATAGTGACTACATGTGTCAAGGACACACCCAGAGAACAGACCAGCTATTTATTTGTTTTGTAGCAAGCTCAACAATGCAAAAGGTTGCAATATGTTATGAAAAGTATTTGTCTGATTTCTTATTTCCTTCCATATTTGTCGCATTAAAATGTTTCAGATAATCAACATTTTTTAATAGATTTGGACTTTTTTTTTTTAAAGTGAATTTTGAATTTACTTGAGTTATTTTTTCCAAATATTAAGATTAGTTTAATTTTGCACAAAGCAAGACGTTAGGAAATATGGGGTAAATATTTTTTCACAGCACTATTTATCTATTTTTGCATAGCGCTTTGTTCTTTAAATTTGACTTGCGCATATTCACACCCCACTTCCTTCCTCATATTTCTAGGCTCCACTTGAGCATACAGGCCTCCCATTTCTACTGCATTGCTCACAGACTTTCTGTTAACTCCCCTCACCATGCACTTCTCCTCTTCCAAATAAGATCTGGCAGATGGATTCATGTCCAAAGACTTTTCACCCTTCTTTTTCTTGCTTTTCATTTTCCAGTTCACATTAGAGTAAATCAGTTCGCACTCGTCCTCTTTCTTGTCTGATTTTTTACGTCCTCCTTCTGCATGGTTTGGCCCAGAGTTTGGAAAGTCAGTGCTGCTTGGTCCAGCGATGTTTGCAGGGTGAAAATTTTCTGCCCCTCTCAGCCCATCAGCATTTGCATAAATGCACTCTTCTGCTGTGTTTGGTTCCTACAATTACATAGAAAATATCAGTGGTAAAGATAATCTACTTCTTGCTGTATAGTTACAAAAGTATCAGCATTGGTCAACACTGTTAAAAGGAACTTTAAGCACCTCATTTCCTTCTTCAGTTAGAGGCTGACTTGTTGCAACTGTGTTGTTTTCGTCTGTTAAGTGACCTTTATTTTTACAGGGACTCTTCTGAGCCCTAAAAAATGAAGAAGAATATCAAGCATATATGCATACAATTCATACATCGTAGTTTTGCCACTATTTACATTTTAGTTCACAGCATGAATAGATTAATTGTCTGCTAGCAAGCAATAATGCAGTTGTACATGCATTACTGAATGTTAACAGACAGACGTCTTGAAAATGAATACATGCAAATATTAACCACCAGTAGCATGTCAAATGGACTGTCGATGAACAGATTTGATTGATATTACATTTAATCAATAGTGTTACCAATGTTGAGTATTAAATCAGCTGCAAAAGTGTTTTTTTTAAACAAACGAAGACCCAAATAAACAAAGTACTTATCAGCATTTAGTCAAATAGAATCAGGACAAATAAAGTTTACTGTTACAGTAAAGTGTGAAGGTTTTCTGAAAAAGTCTCATGTTGTTTACTTACCTGATAAAAAACACACATAGTAACAGTGCTAACAGTAGCACTCCAAGAATGGATATTATTGCTGGATACAGAACTGAATTTAAAAAAAGAAAAAGAAAAAGACCTGTATATTAATCGTGTTGTCTTTAAAAAATAAGGTTTGTTTGAACTCACAACA